TTATCGAATTAAAATCGGATTCCGTTGATATCAAGTATTTTGTTCTGTTCTGGACGCAGATATAGACGTTCTCATTACCATTATTTTATTTACGTAATTGTTTAATAACAAGTTGAAACGTGATGATAATAATATTGTTATAAAATGTATTATAACTGTTTTGTTGGGTATAATTACCTAAAGTTTGACAGACTGTTTCTTATGAAACATAAATTAATTTTCTTTTACGCTTATTTATACAAATATAATTTTTATGTTTAGAACAAACCGTTGGATATTAGATTTTTAAAACATTTTATAAAAATAACACTATCCTTACTCAGGATGTTTGATTGAATGAGGAGAAATTCCTTGTATCGAAATTCTATGTCTAATTCGATTGACTACTCTATGATAATACTGATAAATGCATTAGTCTCTAAGAGAGGATTCAGGATTAGGGAAGAGGAGCTGTAATAGATTCAATTACAAGCAGTAATGTACATGTAATTGACGACTTAGTATTTAATTTATTGTGTCTTGTCTTGACATACATTAGAGGAGAGAAATAACCACCTCCTAATACCAATGAGTGCAGTAAAAACTTTTATAATATTCTTTGAACTGGTTAGTAAAAAAATTATGGTTGTGAAACCCAAATGTTTACATCGTTAGAGAAACTAATAGAGTTAAAGTGTACGTTTACTTATCTAAACGGCTAACAAAATACTATAAGAACCCGGATGTCTGAGACAGAAACCTTTGAAAGAATTTTTGGCCCAAACTGAAATATAGAACCTTCGAATACATTCAATAAAATGTTAGTATTATCATAAATTATTTTGCACTTTTTATACTTGTAAATTATTCTATTCGTCTGTCTCAATTATGCGCCACTCGGAACATGAATATGCTTGCAAACGTTTTATGAAAACCAAAGTTAGTGCTTTATAAATATGTACGTACACTATAAGTATGCACTAAATATTTATTACAAGTAATTAATAAACAGAGTAAGAACACATACCTCAGAGTAAATATTAGCGGTGAGAATAGGTCCGGATACCAATACGAGTGACGAGGGTCCACACACCGAACTTGTGGCGACTGACGTAATCTTGTGAATATCCATTTGTTCGACTTACGATGACTCACTTTAGTATTTAAAATTATTTTAATCTTAATACAAAGTAAATATCTGAGGGAGGATAAAATATAACATTTTATGAATGACAATTTATTAATTTGAAAGCAACTTTAAATAATTCAAGTCTGCTTTTAAGCGTCAAAGCGTGAGGAAGGTTATGCTGGCGATGCTTTTAAAATAATTGTGTAAGTTAATACAGAATGTACAAGAGTATAATTTTTGTTTTTAATAAAATTCTGTTTTAATATAATGGGTTTACTTTCGTACCCTCTTTCGTAATCAGTCAGAATTATCATCCATAATTATTTTTTTTATCTCTCATATTATTTTATATGTTTCTAAACATTATTTATATGCAATATTACATTTTTCAGTACTTTGTAGTTATAACTGACGACTTAAAATATAATTATTCAAACAAATGCGCTCCGAGTTTTATGTTGGAGTGATACCGGTTTAATTTCTTTTGTAACAGTGTAACATCGACTTATTGAAACATAGCTCCTGTTACTAGATAAATAATATGATTAAATAATTATGACCAATATTCATTTCTTTACTTTTATTGAAATATTTAAGCTGAGCTATTAAATTTCTTGTATAATTAGATAATTAAGAAATCATTTCAAATGTACGTCGTGTAACTGTTATAAGCAGAGTTGATAACTGTTTTATACATAACGACACTGTATTAATTACAGAAGGACTAAATTGAATATATTTAGATATGTGATTAATTTTTATAATAGAATTGGGTTTTTGAATTATTATTTTTTTTGTGATAAATGGAAAGATCATATATAAGTTTTATAACAAAACTATTTTTATTTTATTTTTTTTGCAATAATTAAAAAGTTATATCAAAATAAAAATTAAATTTTAAATTCAGTACCGAAGACCCGCCGACAGCTCGCAAATAAACCCGAGCGCGTGTGACGTCACAATGTTAGTTTTTGCTCATTGTAGCATACAGGGATATAATAATTAGTACAGTGTTTTGAGTTTTTATCTAGTAAATTCTGTTGGCATTGTTAAATAATCAAAAGTTTTGTACCATTATGTACAAAGACTACAAAAACAACTCCTGAAAAAATGTTTTTAAATGTTCCACAAGACGAAAAACGTCGAAAGAAATGGTTTCAAGCAGTGCATCGAGATTATTCAAAAACAAAATCATTTTTTTTTGTTGTGAAGATCATTTCGTTGTAAGTATTCATAATAGTATTGTTATTAATTATTATTTATCTAAGTGTATAAATCGAATAAGTATAGTTCAATAATTAATTTTTTTACCTGGGCTCCAAATCATAACCTTTAGAATCGTAGCATTAAAAATTTTTAATTGATAATTCAAAGCGATTAAATAGTAAATCTATATGTATGTTTGTCTAATAATTGGACTTCAATTAATATATATTTTCATAATTTTATAACATTCTAGGTTCTGTATCAGACTACATTTAAATTTTTAAAGTATATGTTATTTTGGTTTTTTATAATGTTATAATAACATTTTATTAATAATGATTTAATGAAATAATTAATAATTATATTTAATAGAGAATAAATACTTATTTTCATTTAGAATAGTATTTTTTAACAGACTTACCTTGATGCCTTATCACCTCGAACTTCAGCAGAATTAAACCGAACGTCATTTTAAAAAAAAATTGTTATCATAAATATATCAACATCAGGAATATTATCCGATTTTGCTTTTATAAATCCTTTATCACACATAGTCGAAATAAACTTTTCAAATCGTTTTTCACTAATAAATTTGAGATATTTTTATCAAGTTAAAGATAATAGCCATAAACACTGTACTATTATGAAATTGCTTTAACATTATGACGTCACAAGTATGCTGACCAATCATGGCGCGTTTACAGTCACGTGATATATTTTTGAATTTTATCAATTTTTAATTGTTTATAATTAATTAAAAAAATATATTTCAAGTTTTTTGCATTAAAAATCCAATATAATTAATAATAAAGTTTTAAAATACATAAAAAAAATCAATACTTTTTTTTTTTTTCAAAAACCCAATTCTTGATACTTTTGGTTTTGTAATATGTAAACAAACACAAATAAAAATAAAATCCTACATAATTCACCGACATCTACGCTCGACATGTAGAGGCGTGCATATTTTTTCATGATGTATTCTTAGGGTCCTGAGACGGGAGACTGAAATATTACAATATATAACTATATAATTAAACTATGAAAATTTAATACATGAACAAATTATGACTTACTGTTAGATTACGAGACATTTCTTAAAAGTATTAGTAATAAAAGGAGCTCGGAGTTGATTAAGTAACAATGGATCAAAACACCGCTAATGTTATATTACATTTCTTTGTGAGGAATAATTCGATATGAACGGTGACTTGTCATTTCCTTATATGAGCCGATATGTTACTAAAACAAAATGGAATTTCTTATTTATAAAATGAAAGTTCAATCTAATATATAAAATTCTCGTGTCACAGTTTTCGTGCCCATACTCCTCCGAAACAACCTGACCGATTTTGATGAAATTTTTTGTGCTTATTCGGTAGCTATGAGAATCGGCCAACATCTATTTTTCATCCCCCTAAATGTTAGGGGTAGTCCACCCCTAAGTTTTTTTTTTATTTTTTAGACAAAATTTTTAATTACTATTTTTTTATGATACAACGTACAAAAATACATACAATCCTAAATTTTCACCCTTCTACGATCAACCCTTATTTTTTAATAGCTATTTTAGTAATTTAATCATTTTTCATCTCCGGTCGATAACTGATCAATCGTCATTTAATAAGTTATCCCCGCCAGATATCTACAGGTGTCACTTCTGACCCAGTAAACAGCACGGAGTAGGGATGAGAACGAAGCCGGTCTTCTGTTTCTCTCACACAATTAGACTTCTCTCACTCCCTACACAGTTGTCGGCCATCGTTATTGTTTGTGCATCAAGTGTAGTAGTAACGTTGACAATTATTATTTTGCTAGCTCAGTGTAACTCTCATATTAACTATTAATCATTCCTAATCACTTCAAAACACGGAGATTTATGGCTTTAATAGGTAAACTCCAAAAATATAAATAAAAAAACGTAACAGATATTTCTTGATTATAGGGCGAAACGAAGTTCACCGGGTCTTCTAGTAATAAATATATATTATACGTAATCTTCACACAAATCAATTCATAGATACATGAAGGTGTCGCTATGTGAATGATTTGTGAGTCAACTAATACATACTATGTAATTATTAAAAGAAACAACTGAAACTATTTGAAACACAATGAATAATATAGCGAAGGGTAGTTTAATGAAAACACATATATATTTGTGTTACTGTTAAATCCGATTAATATTAATTGTGTATAAATATTTTTAAAGTTGAATAATACATATATTTATTGTATAATACTTTCGTATTTTGCCGACTACGTCATAAAATCCATTAATTAAAAATTACCTAAAATTGACATTGTTTTTGAGTTATAATGTCTTAAAATTACAATAAAAATCAGTAAAAATATATCTAAATGTAATCATTATACGATAATAACGTTTTGTTTTATTTACAAATATATAGTAACATATTATTATTTAAGAATAGTCCTTATACATAAACGTTTTAAAGTTGAAAATATTAAAAATACAAAATAATAATAATAATAATCCGCATCTAATTGGTAGTTATCGCATAAACGATATCAAAATCACAGACCGTGAAACCTCCTTTCAATGAGCTTGAAAACCATGTAGGTGGTATACGTTTTAATATCTGTGTGAGCGGAGATAGCGCGGACTGGCACGTCAGAATGTTCGTAACAAAAACCCCAGTCGAGTTGGTCCCGTCTGTCAGACATGGCAAGCAAAACGGTAAGCGATAAAGCAAAATGGCGCAGAAGAAAATTTCCTAAGACTGTTGATGAAGATAATGACTGCGCGAGTCTTGCTTGGCTGCTGAACTTTCGTTTGGATGAATTTGTGAACGTCAAGGTACCAGATGATGAGCCTGAGGAGGCTCAGAGAGAAGTCATAGAAGATGCACCACCAGCTGCGAAAAAACCTCCGTATACATATCCCGAGCTGATAGAAAGAGCATTGCGAGAAAAGGGTGAATTGACTGTATCTGCTATATATCAATGGATTTCGTAAGTATGTTTTGACTTTATATATATAAAATGACTTCATATTTGTATAACTATAATGAATTCTACTTTTTTTGACCTTACAAAATAGTCATAAATCTACATCTTTTTAAATATGATTACACATAAATTGATTTTTAATCAAATGACGTCCAAGTTTTCTATCCGTTGAACCTGAAATGGCTCATCACTTTAAGTTTCAATAAAAAGAAATAATATTTTACTTAGTTTAAAATAAATATCTGAAATAGTTAGATAAAGTATCTCGTTAATAGTCATGCTTTTGACGATTTATAGAACACAAAAAACTTTTTTACATAATATATACGGATGAGGATATTAATGAGAAGTCGTAAGCTTAATTTGAGTATTGAATAACAGGAGCGCAGTATGCTACGTGTATTTTTATTATACACGGAGTTGTATTTCCGACATGATCTCAGCGTTGCATTGATTTATTGCTCCAATCTTGTTTTCATACGATATTGCACGTTGACACTTTTACCTCCCCCCTGGGAAATGTACCGGCAGAATAACTTGTAGCAATGCACATTAGTATTTATAACATTAACTTTAGTATATTTTATTTTATGATAATGGCTTCATTACAGTTAATGTGTGTAGCATTTATTATTAAAATTGACTTGATTCTGGTTTTCACACAATATCTCACACTGTATTCCCCCTTTTTGTTATATTTTTTCTTTTTAAACTCCTTACTTTTGATTAAAAGGAAGACTTATTTAACTGTATGTCATATTTATAAAATTAATTTTATATGAAAAATATTATTCATCAGGGCATTTCTTTAAGGTTTTCTAGTTGGCTAAGAGATTATATAGTTTATTATATGTATTATTATATTAAAGTTTATGGTAATAAATAAGATTTAATTTAATATTAATACACAATTTATCGGAGTTATTAGTAAAACCAATATGTATATATGTTCATTAAACTATCCTTCGCTACATTATTCATTGTGTTACATATAGTTTTAGTTGTTTCTATTAATTAGTATTAGTTGGCTCACAACTCATTTACACAGCGACACCTTCACGTATCTATGAATTGTTTTGTGTGAGCATTACGTAATATATATTTATTATTGAACCTTTAATAAATATGAAATGCCATTTTGTTTTAGTAACATATCGGCTCATATAAGGAAATGACAAGTCACCGTTCATATCGAATTATTCCTCACAAAGAAATGTAATATAACATTAGCGGTGTTTTGATCCATTGTTACTTAATCAACTCCGAGCTCCTTTTATTACTAATGCCTTTGTAACGAAATGTTTCGTCATCTAACAGTAAATTAGTTAGGTGTAATTGTGAAATACAATTTATTTGTACTTGCAGTGAATCCGCGGTTGGCATTCTGTGTTCATCTTTTTATCTTTGCTTTAAGTTTTTCTTATATTATTCTTATTTCTTATATTATTAGTTTAAATATAATTAGTTCGTTACACCTGTTACTTTTGTTACTAATAAATGTAGACTCTTTATTTCAGCTTCTACTTTTGTTTTTAATATTCATGTAATTTACTAAGTAGGTACCAACAATATTTTTTTGAATTACGCTTTTAATCAGGAAAAAATAAGAAATAATTCTAAAAGTAGTCTTAAGCCGCATTGTTTTCCTCTCCCATTATACTTTGGTCTCATGATTTTTCCTCGCAAATGCGAAAAGAAATATCAGCGTAATTTACTACGATTGTGTTTATTATTCACGATAAGTAATTGCCTATTTATATTTTACTATTTCACAGAAAATGATATCTGTATTTCTAATGATGTTAGGAAAATTGTTATACTGCTATCATTTTTATGTACATTATAAAGCTGTTAGTTATATTTACTATTCTGCTTTTGATCTGAAATGGTATATTTATAAATCGTGGTTACCCCAAAATAAGTTGGTGAAATATAGTCTCCAATCTCCCCCCCCCCCCCTATTTCCATTCAACCGTTACAACCCTCTTATAAATATTACACCTGTAATCACTGATAATAGCTATCCTGTTATCACTTATCACTGTGATAGGATTTAGGGTTATCGGAGCGTTGTGACTTTTATTAATTTATTTAACAATCTAAATGTGTGTTCAGTTATAGATTATATTCATATCTAATGGCATGCTGTAAATGATACGAGTGTCATGTAATTCACTTTTCACACCATAAAAAGGTTTTTTTTATATGAATATGAATTTTAGTTCTCATAATTCTGTAGTAAAATAAACGACAAGATTCTTATGCAATTTGCTGTCTTACCTTATGTCTTCGAGTAGTAAGAAATTAAGCGTAATAGTGGATTAAAAACTTTAACTATAACAGCAATATTATATGGCGAAAGTATCGTACTGAGTTCATAAACTACGAGTATATGTAGTTGCATGATAACATGATTGCATAATTATTGTACAATTAACACGAATTTATTTCCAGTTCCTAAAGTAATTATAATGTACATAATACTGATGCTTATATATATACGTATGTATGAATCTAAAGTACATATGTATCAAGTGCTTAAAAAAATAATTATGTTTTTGCGTCTGTAATATTGCTACATTTATTTATATTAAACTTCCACCGTTTAATCTATTTTACGGCGTAGAATGATCGGGTTGAATACAGAGTTTTAATTCTTTAGTCCAATTTAAATTTATGAAGTAAAATTGGATTAGTGAGGGCAGGAGGGAACGGGTTAAATAATAACAAAAGAACCATAAAAGTATCAAATGGAGTAACAACGCAACAGAATGGAGAAGTTTGAGGTAGAAAAACTTGGCAAAGAATAATACAATACCGACCAACCTTACTTGTTTAAGAATAATGTGAAAGAATGTTTTAAGTAAGGGAAATAAGCTTCACCCCTCACACTGAGATAAATTCTAAAGTGACGCTTTAGAAAAGAGTAAAATTCCATAAGAGCAGTTTGGTTATGTGTACGTCGATCACCAACAAATACCTTCTCAATCTTATCAATTGCCAATCGTAAAAAATACAAAAAAACACAAATACTTTTATATATTTAAATAAAACTAATATTTTTCGAATATACTACGCGTGCTTAATTTTTTGTAAAAGCTACATACTCCGACGTTTCGGTTACTTTTCAGCAATCGTGATCATGAGCAGACGAGAGGTGAATCGTTTTTGTCAAACAATGAAATAATTTTACAAGTTATACATTCTAATACAAGATCGTTGAATAAGCAATAATGTGCGAAATCCTTTAAGATTTAGAAACGTTTTGAGGGAATTTATATATTATATGAATATATCTTAAAATCTCATAGAATAATTATTATAGGCTGTGACTAATTATACAAAATAGATTATGTTGCTCATTTATCGGTGAATCTGTATGAACGTGGACGTCGCTATTGTAGTTTATCTGATCGCAGGCCATGTTAATTAGTGAACCAAACCTGTATTACAGAACAAATTTACTAGAGCTACCAAATATATTGATAGTGAATATAATTTATTAGGTAATGAGTATATAATCAACATTATAAACATGACATGGAGAGATAAAATTAAACGTATTTTATAATTTTTGAGTGCCGTAATTTCAAGTAATGCGATATATTGTTTTATTGATGAAAACTTATAAATAAAACTTATATACCTACAAAGAATTATATCAGCAACCGATCATAAGTAAAAACTAATATATGTATTTATATACAACCAAATAAAAACTGCTTACTCCTGATAATAGGTACGTACGTTGTAGTAAAAATTACAATCAAAATTACAAGTACAATTATTATAACATATTTGAAGCTATTTAATGCTAGAGATCGATCATATAAAGTGTGATAGAATGAATCTTTTAAATAGTAAACAGGTTTAATGGGCCAGGTGCGTTTCCCTTGTGGGAAGTTTGATACAGGATGCAATGCTAATATCAATGCTAGGGGTGATCGCCTCGGTTAGGCACAATCGACCCGTGCCAGCCCGCGACGGTGCAAGGGTTAGTGCGGTATGTCAAACAAACATGACTCCCCCCATTTAATATTGAACCATATATCACGAAAATAAAGTTTAAATTTAAATAATTACTATAAACAATACAACCACATTGATTAGGAATTTGTGTGCTGCAATTTATGTCATGATAATTTTCATGGAATTCGTATAAATTTTGTGAACTTATTATAATATCATAGTTAATAGTATTATTTTTAAATACGAGTTGTAAATTTTTGGTTTCCAATAAAGTTCGTAAATAAGTTTTGTACCTACTTTTTATTATTAAATTGTAAAGAGGAGAAATACTTGTACTATAAGGCAGCACGAAGTGATGAAACTAGTATTTTAAGACTAAAATCAATATCGTATTTTGTCTAAATTTTCAAATGCAAATACAATATGCAATATAGTAAGACATCTCTTCAAATAACAAGTTCGATGAAATTCAGTGACATCTAGCTAGTTTAACAGTCTTTGATTATAATTACACTACCAAATACAACTTACTATTTGCATACTACCAATTTATGTACATTTAAAACATATTGATTGTTAATCAGTTCGGTATTTGATATAAATTAGGGATTGTGAACTTAATACAAGTAATCAAATTAACTTGACATCATTAAAACTCATATAAATATTTGTACAAAATAAATACTGAATAGCGTAATTATATATTCCAATAATTTGTTATAAATGGATTTGGTAATTTTATCGTGTTTGTAACTGCGATCAGTTGAATTACAATTAAATAGTCAATGACAACTTAAAATGGTATGGACAAATTTCCATAAGTAATGAAAAATTCAAGCACACTTAGCTTAATAAAAACCTAAGTTCAAAGGCTAAATATTATTAATGATTTAATTTTTTCAGGGATCGATTTCCGTTCTATAAAGCGAACGACGAGCGTTGGAAGAATTCTGTGAGGCACAATTTATCTATCAATCCACATTTCCGTAAGGGTGCCAGGGCTTCCCAGGGCGCTGGTCACCTTTGGTCTCTTGCAGCCAATGCAATAGATCTACTGCCGCTACGTAACCAGACATATGAAAAGACTGACGTCCAAGAAACACAAATAATTGAATGTCCCAAGGTATAAAAATATGATGTTTAATATTTTATTTATAACTAGCTGATCCGGCAGACTTCGTACTGCCTCAATCAAGAAATAAATTATGTCTTATTTATTTTTTTGGTGTTTACCTTTAAGCCATAAATCTCCGTGTTCTGAAGTGCGACAAAATGACATATTAGTTGTCAAATCTAATGACAAAAAAACGTTTGTATGGGAAATAGAAAAGGGCTGTTTTTAGGGTTTGCCCGGCAATTATTCCAATTTTTCTCACCTTTAATACCTTCCCTGAACCTCCACGAATATTTCAAGACTAAGATAAGATAAATCCGTTCAGCTGTTCTCGAGTTTTAGCGAGACTAAGGAACAGCAATCCATTTTTATATATATAGAAGATATAACACTTCAAAATCAAATAACTTTATATAAATATAATATATTCAGTTGAATTAGCGTTTGAGAAAATAATTTTATATTAATAATACGTACTTTGTTTAAAAATTTGTTGCAATATAAACGTCATGTTATTCACTAAACGTTACACAAGATTAAACAGTGACAAAATGTATGAAAGTATTTGTATTATAAATTTTATGTTTACACTAACATTAAAAGTAAATGAAGTTTCGTAAAATTTGTTTTGTAAAACAGCAGTCTAAATATCACACGAGGGGACAACAATTTCTTGTTATGGCTCTTATTTTAACACTTCTCTCAAGACTACGTATTTGTGTTTCACAAGAAGTTGTTTAACTTCAAACATAGTCTGCATCACCTTTTAACCGAAAACGGATTGAAACGTATTAACAATATGTATTTTATATGCAAAATATAATTGGTATTTCCAGGTAATAGTTTTGGATGAGGCCGCAATAGCCGCAGCGAGTATAATGCCCGATCAGGACTTATTCACCGGTGGTACAAGTAAGTGTCCTTATTACGACCACAAGAAATGATTATTTTAAGGATACTTATATATTTTAACGATAATGTGTTTCCTTCTAATCACATTATGTATAATCATGTTTGAAGAATGCAAAATAAAATATATATTTTTAAACCATATGGTAAGAAATATAAATTAATATCTTAAACAATAAATATAGTTAATACCTAACATACAAAATATTAAATCACAGGGTTGACTTTTTAGCAGTTTTGTACTCTGATTGTGATTATTATTTGCTTACAATAAAATAAGCAAATCTTCTCAAAACGTGCGCTTAAATTTTATGAATTTTCAATAAAGCTATAAGTAGCCTGCTTTTAATTTAAAGACTTGACACTTGCAGTATTTGGGGCTTGTTGGTCTTACTGTCAAAAGGACCTGCATTCATTTATTTCTACTCGCTATTAATTTAAAACATTTCATTTCAAACAATTTCTTTACGTACTAATGCACTTTTGAAAATTTAGATGTTTGGATTTAATTTAGTAAGTTTGACTTGTCGATGAAACATTTTCTATCGCATTTTGGTTTAACAAGCGTATTGACTATCCCAAAACTGGATTTCTAAAACAATTTGTATACGAAACTATGAACGCAGTATATGGTCGGCCATTATTATGCATGGAAATAAATCTCAATAGATTATCAACACGAAATTCATCATAGTCTGAACTGTTCTACACATCTTTCACTTATCTCAAAGCAATCGGAAAACTATTTTAGACCAAACTAGACGTAACTTTGAAACAAAAACGGTAAAAACATTATTACTACATACATTTCTCACTTTACCCGAAAATTTTGCACTGACCATATTGTTCCTCTTAGTGGAATCATACTTTGGCGTTTCTTAGAATTTGAATTATTCAATAAAATATTTTACCCGAGCACCATTATTTTAATTTAATAATCAGCTAAATTGGAACAAAGTACTTGACGGTTTGAGACTTGAAATCGATGCTTGCAACTAAGCAGTTATACTAGGAGCTGTAGCTCTTTTTCTAATAAAGTAACTGTCTCCTGTGGAATTTCTTGTACCTCGTTTTTTACCTCGTAAGAAGTCAAAGCGCGGTTTCCCAGTACACTGCTTTATTCTCTTTTTCTGTTTTGTCTCGACTAATTTCGCCTTTTTTAAAGTTTTGTTTATAGTCTAGTTTGATAATTTTGTTTATGGCGGTATTATGTTATTAATTTAAACTACGGTATTAGAGGAAAATAAGTTATTTGAGAGAACAAAAACAGTTATAATTTTATACATTCACTATGACAGTAATTGAAAGATTATAAAAAAAAACCTTCATATTTAAACAAAAATATATAGAATAAAAAGTTTTATTTTTAAAATACTGAAATAAAATAACCAGATTATTTAGTTGATATAGTGTTTCAAAAAGTCTTTGTATTTATTTCAGTGTTCCTTAATCCTGTTTCTACGGAACAAGTGGTACGTGAATGCGGTCTCATCACAGGACTTTGAGGTCACTTTGATTTTTAGCATAATTTTTATTTTTATTTTAGATCACTCTCGGACAAAATTTTTAAATAGTAATGTTTATATTGTTTATGTATATTTTTTTATTTATTCAAATAACATGATGAAAACTTTATATTAGAACAATTTGTTTCTACTAGTCACTAAGAGTGTTATTAGAAAGTAATTGGCTTATATGTAGTAACATGAGGTGAAAAGACGAAAAATTTTGCGTCCTCGGCTCGTTAATTTGAAACTTGGTTGTTTTGCAATAAGAGTTTGCCTTGAACAAAATTTGAGAAATAATCTAACGATTAATGGTACTTGAAATGTAGTTCAACGTCATTATTTTAATTTAAAAATGAATAATTTAATCAATAAAAATTCCCACATGTCACATTCTTCATTATCTATCAAGATAAGTTTGATTCAATTAATAGGCTGCTTTTAAATTTTATAAAACAATTTTAATTTATTAAATGTCACTATAAGCTGCATATATTTATTGTACTAATTAAAATCATTACTTAAAGCATATTTGTTGAATAAGTAACGTAATTTCATGATTTATTAAGGAATTTTAGTCACATATATTTTAAATACAATTTGTTTGATTATAACATTCGTGGTGATCTCATTATTGAATTAAATTAGATAAGACTAGTATGTTGATGGGAGTTTTAATAAATTGTACAACATTAAGATGAGTTTTATTATATTTACTTATATTTTAGGGTTACTTTCATAAGGTGATTTTCTTAAGAAGCATTTATTGTTATTATTGTTTACATCGTATATACTCGTATATACATGTTTTACTGTATTCGACAAGATTTTCGTGTGCATGTCATTTATCCGAAGTTATAAAAATATTTAACCAGTACCAGTACATAGTATTACCAGTTTTAATTACTAAGGTAATCTTTAAAAGAGTTTAGAACCGAACATTAATATATAGATTACTTTATTTGTTACTTAATATCAAATAGCAAATGAAAAACCTACGAAAATTCGCCATTTATAAAATAATATTTAAAGGATATTTATACTATAAAGTTGGTATACTGAGTTGTTTATAATATATATGTTACAAGTTTCAAAGCAGCGTAAACATCACTGTCTAAATTAGGACCAACAGTATCCATCTTAATCTACAAAATTCATCAAAACTTTTAAATTAAAGCCCGTTCCAAATCCCTGAAGAATTACAACAAATTTTAGTGGGAAAGATACCAAATACTGACGTCTGAAGTTGTATCAGCTCTGGGTGTGGTTACAGCTCCATCTATTATTACAAGTTGGGTCAAGTAGAGTAAATTTACCGTTTAACCCTTGGGGCTTGGACCGCCCACAAACGTGGATTACATAGGATTCTCCCCAGCTTTGTTTATAATGGCCGTGGAAATTGATTTAGATGCGTTCAAGACTTAATTTTAAGAACTTTAGACTCGAATTCCTTTGTACTTCCACCTACATATATATCGTTTATTATAATTCTAGATACCTTCCCCCATTAATCGCTTAAGTAGGTACTGAACAAAGTTTGTGGTTTCATCCGCGTATAATGCTTTAATTTTAAACTCGGATGCTTAAATGGCAGTAAACGTAAATTATTTTCGTGTTAAGATTTGAAGTTGCTTTAAATAGAACTTAAGTATAGTAGAGATGATTACTTACTTGTTTGGTTTGATGAACCATTTATATCAAGAAATTATGGATTACAATTAATATGCAAACTTAACTTAGTTATGGAGAATTTATCCAAAGTTAAGCAATTGATCATTTATGGACGTGACACCCAGCTTTTAAATGTCCGTAACAAAAGTTAGAACAAAGCAGTTTCTTATTTGCCACTTATTGTTCCAACTTCGGAACAGCAAAGGCGGTGTTGCGGTAATAAAAACTTTTTTCATTACAAGAGCTTATTGAAAATAACAATGTCACAAGAGAGCATATTTTATGTGATTTTGCAATTCTTCTGAACTATACAGATTCGTATTTACAGATTGAAATAGAAATGTAATTTCAACAACAATTTTTTTTAATATTTGTTTTTGTCACTTCTAAATCCATGTATGTAAACATGAAAATTATTCAAATAAAAAAATATGTTGATAGCAGAAATTAAAATTCATTTTTATATAGTAAAGTGTATAATAGTAATCAATTCAGAAATTAAAATACATATATGTATACAGAAAATATAAATAATCCATTACGTATTATTTTCGGAATTTATTTGAATACTGCCTCCTTGTTTTACCTTCTTAGTCAGGCGCTTAGTATCCTCTAGAGAAGATGGTAATTCAGTGTCTTTTGTTTCTGGCAATAAAAAACAGAATAGAGATCCAATTAAAGCAAAACCCCCGAAAACTGCCCCTGCTGCATTTTCTGACAAAGTATTCACAAGAGGAGCAACGATTTGACCGATTCTAGATAAAACTGATAAAAAACCTAAAACTGAATTTCTTACTGATGTTGGAAATAATTCGACGCCATAAAGAAATACAACAATGAATGAAATAAAGAAGAAACAATTGCATATGCATGCAACGATCACTCTTATCCAATTGTAGGTGAATGGAATACAAACGGATATTATCATGAACACCCCAGACAGAAATATAGAAGACAAAAGCATTGTTTTGCGGTTTAGAATTTTTAACAGAAATATTGAAGAAATCGTTCCCGGTAGTAATAAAGCGCCTGAAATCGCTACATTTATATGAATATCTCCACTCATTTTTCCTATTAATTGTGATACTCCATAGTATCCCATTCCGCATAAAAAATAAATTATTGATAGGTATATTAGTATAAGAGACATTGTTTTGTGTCTAAATATTTGATAAAACTTTAAATTCGTTTTCGTTCCAGGTGGACGCTTAGCAAGATATTCTTCAAATTGATCTCTTATACCTTCATACGGTTGTTTATTGCTAAAAGAGAAGGAAGAAAAATTACTTTGTGTATTTTGAACAAAATTTAATTTTACAGAAATATTTAAGAGAGAGTGGAATATATTAAGCCGCAGAATAAATTGCTTCACCCCAAAATTTCGTGCATTACAGTTATATTCCCTAGCAAGCAACAGTTAGTTGTGGGCTCTACAAATTTTTAACTACTCGTTATTTTAAGAACGGTTTCGGTAGTTTTTAAAATATTCTTTTTATAGGTCTATATTTTTTTAAGTGAGTTAAAATTTGAACTAAAATTACTATTTTTCGGATTAACTCTTTTCACTACAGATTTCCAACGTTTCGGTTATTTTTTAGCAACCGTGATCACTCGTTAACGAAAAATATTACTTTTAATTCAATGACTAAACGAATGGCGAAGGTCTTAAACATTATGAGTAAATTTTTTTTAAAAGCATGTAAGTTAATATAAGTGTTTGATGTTAATAAACTGAAATTTCTTTGTTTTAGATTTAAAACTAAAAACTAAAAAACCTTTTGTTGATAATATTATAACTCTTATCTTTTATCCCACTTTAAAGATCTATATATAATAAGTTTATTTAGTAAGAATTCCGAAAGCTTGTCAATAAAATTGGTATTAATTGATAATAAACAGGAAACTTTCCTATACATATGAACATTATTGTTCTTTTAAGAAACAAACATTATTTCAAAAGAAGAGCTCAGAGGTCAACAGCACACACACAAATTGAATTAAATATATATTACGTTCGTTTATTTGTGCTAAAATTTATAAAATAATATATGTATATATCCGACTCTCTCTCATATACTTCAAAGGTGTACTTACAATTTGGCTACATTTTCCATAACAAATATAGCTCTGTCATGTCGACCGCTATCCAGTAACCATTTCGGCGATTCCATAACCATCCATGGAAGGAATACATAGAAGAACATCGGAATTGAAATTGTCAATTGGAATTGGTCACAATGCGGCAGTAAGTATGAAATGAGTGGCAAAGTCATGTGACCTATGTTGACCGGGATGTTGAACAGTGCTGTCACTATTTCTCTATATCTTGTTCCAATAAACTCGATGCAAAGAACGTATGAAGTAATGATAGCTCCGCCGGTTCCGATGCCTTCGATGGTGCGCATGAAAGTGTAGGATGCAGTCGTTGGCATTATACTCACAAAAGAACCAGATAAAGCCATTACCAAGCAAGACAATGAAAAAGATGACAACCGACCGTTCCTGAGACAAAAAAAGAATTTCTATAACATCTCCTTTAAACAACTAATTTAATTTATTTCCAACTTCTTGAATAACTATTCTGTAACGTTTTATGTTCATCAAATATAAAAACAGTTTTAAAAATAATGGTATTTTTGCTTACCTATCTGATAAATATCCAAATAACATGGCTCCAACTAAAAAACCGCTGTACATCATAATATGTGAGAAGCTAATATTCCATTCGTTATCACAGAGTAAGTGGAATTTGGTCTGCATTGTTTCCGTAAACTTACTTCTGTTCCACTGTGGGTTATGGCATGGACACAAATTTTTGGATGAATTACTCGTATCATCTGCACATGTGTATTCCATTGGTGGAGCCAAAAAAATCAAATTGAGGACATGCCAGAAAATTGGGATCTTACTTGAAAACACTAAAAACAGAAAATAATAATGGTAACATGATATTTTGTCAAATTGTACTTCAATTGGACAGTGAAATTGATGATGCTCTTTTTTGGTCATATTAATGTAAAATACAAAAAATATACTAGTCACATAATCGCGTTGGCTGTTAGTACAGAATAATCAGATTTATATATGTAAGGCTAAGAATTTATGTAAATACTTGTTATAATTTTTATGCTTTAAAATAAAAAGATTCATATCTACTATTTTTATATTTTATACTATTTTATGTCATTAAATGGTTGCATGCGAATAAACACATTTTTTGGTTTTATATTTCCTTTATGTTTTGAGATTATAATATTTCTTTTAAGAATTTCATTAGATTTATTGTCACTATTTGTTCAACCTTTGTGCACCCTAGTTGTAACTTACTTTATAATTACATTAAGTCAAATAATTTTGGTTTCATTGCTTCCACCGACCGTCGAAATCATAATAATTAATGTTTTTAACGTTAATGGAGAGAATTTAACAACAATTCAAAATTATTTGAAGTTTTGATCAAATTAGTCTTTTTCAATAAAGTCCAAAAACTGCGGCCAGAGAATGAATTATCTTGAACATGTAGGATACTCTACTCAAAAAAAAAATGAAAGACAATCTATTATTTCTCTTTGAATACTTCTAATAATTTGTACTTTATCGGTCAAGTGTAACTGAATAATTTGTGACTAAAGTTAACAAATAAAAGAAAGCCTTAGCATGCAAACAAGACCTAGAGAAAAGTCTGTCAAAAATATCTGATTGTGAGATGAACTCTAAAAAAATAATAGTGAAGATTCCAAAAAGCGAAAGTTTAATTAATTTTAATATATAATTCATTTTGTACTTTGCTAATAAAGTTTTGGTATCAAAATTAATTTTGAGATTCGACATACTATCTAGAAACTGTGTATCCTAAGATAGGGACTCAGTACCAAAAAATTACAACTTGTTATTAAGTATATATTTAATCCTGTAGTACAATCTGGAAAACAGTTTGTTGTAATAAGGAAGAAGTCATAAATCGTCCACTTAATTTAAAAGCACTAACTGTACCTAGTTTTTCGTAAAAATATCACAATTCATTTATCTTTCTACCAAGTAATGCGGTCACGACACTAAAAACATCTCCTTGGCATATCTTAAGGAACTCGTATCCCTTCATAAGTTAGAACTTTCCTTTATTTAAATATAATGGCTTCAAGCAACAAAAATACATGATCTGAATAAAGTATTAAGGTTTTAGGGTTTAAGCGTGTCTAAAATAATATTATACAAGGTCATTGAAAGTCAAACGAAGTCTCTTTGTGTAAAACAAATTATATTAGTATTAAGATACAATGCGAAGATTAAGAGTTGTGAATACTTGAATAACCAATGGATGTGGGATTTCAAAACTTTATGAATACTAATAATACAAAGGTATTAAATAAGACCCTGAAGTTCTGATAATAATGCTTTAGAATAAATACTTAAATTGAAAATTTAATTTTAGTAAGTTTTATTTATTTTTGTACACATTTCAAGTTTTCTTGTGGTTGCTGAATATGATCTTTTGAATAACAAGAGCATATTTTCCTAGTTATTTGAGAATTTAGGAAAAAACAAATTAAAATGTTTATTTCAATAGACCGTTAATTTAATAAAAAGATCAGTTATAACATTTAAAAAGTTACTGCCTGATGGACAGACAGATGCACGGAAAACTGTTGTGTGGGAAAACCATTATTTTTTATCTTCGAAGAAATTATTGTTGTTTGATGAATGAACAGTTTATTTTTAAACAGATTTTAATTCTAGATTAATATAAAATAAGTTCTATTTATTGAATCTTTTGAGTGCATAGAATATGTGAAATGAACGAACATGAATACCGTTATCGTAAGATCGCATAGGATTCAAGTTGGCAGAAGTTTGTTCTTACCAGTTCTTGAAATGATAATAAAAAGGACATTGTAGAAATGAAACTAATATTTTTCGGATTGTACTACGCGTATTTTATTATTTTAAAAATTACATACTACTACGGAAGTTTCACTTAATTGAAAAGTCGTAAAAGTCTTAGATCCATTATATTGTATGAATTTGTAATTTCATTTTGATATTTATTCACGTTCCTTTGAAAGTTAATTTTGTTGAAGAGATTATCAATATATTAATTCATATATAGATAAAAAATCTCTTTATATCATACCCATTAACGATACCAAACATTTTCAAATTACCAGGAATGAGTAATGATCCTTTAGTTAACATTTTACTTATTATTAATTCCAAGAAATTTTTATGTAAATCCGTTAATTTTCTTATACGTTGCAGTTAATTACAATTTATTTAATATATAATATTATATAACTATATTTTATATAAATTAAGGGAACTATGCTTTCTAATGTTAGTAATTTAGGTTCATACACGGTTTTACCCTATGTATTAAATTACGGCCTAAATAGGTTCTAGCTAAGATTCCACTTGTATATTCAAACTCATGAAATTATCAGACATTACTGTGGTTTTCACAAAATTTACATAGAATTCAGACGTAGAGTATACAATTCACTAAAGAATTTCGGAACATGCGGTGACAGCATGAATTCTAATTATTTACAGCAAAAGCTTAACCTTAGGATTATGCAAATATATTCCAAAATTATAAAAATGTCAAAATAATTCATACCACGTCTTTTAACCAACTTTCAACAAACCAAGTCATCAATTTAAAAGCTTTTTTTATATAATTATAGTAAATATTTTCACCTGGCATGCCCTAATGAGATTTCAAGAATTCCGTTAGCACAATGGTATGTAAAATGTCCCATCACAACAAAGGAGCACAACTAGCTAAATCAAGATAGCTAAAGTGCCGCACAGGTAAAACATTTGTAGAGATACAAATGTCATAGAAGTACCGCCCTCATGGGCAAGAATGCTATCGTATTTTCGGTAAAAGTTCGAGATTTGTATCTTTTATTTGAAATTTTACTGTGAATTTTGCAATATCATAGAATAACAAGTAAATTTAAACAAAAGTTTTCATATACCAGTACAAGACATATGTGTTATTCACACATAATTGTTTTTTTATAATCACGTATATAACTAAATAATTATATTGATATTATTTATATGTTTGTCTGAATGTTTGTAGGTCCATATAGAAGGACAGGGGGGTCAAGAGACGAGCAATTAATTATGTAGCGTTGAGCGCACCATTTCAATAGCGATAATGGCCTTAGTGTGCCCGGCTTTATGCAATCACCTTGCAATAACATTAAGTGCTTTAAAAGGTTTACATATTTTAAGTGATTCATGTTTTTGACTTTGGAAAATGAGATATGTAGTTAAAGGAAATATAATTCTTTATTATAGAATACGTTAGAATCTATTTTCTCTAAGTGAAGTATATACATATATAGTTAATAAACCGCATTACAAAAAGGTACCAGTTTTTTACTAATTTTATCACTTTTTACTTTCTGATGATGAAATAATCTTCATCATTCATGATTCAGAAGTTTTATAGCATAAATATATACTTAATTTTTTGTCTATATTTTTTTAACTCATTATGTCTCCTGTGCAAGAAATAAGACATTTAACTGAATGAATTAAATTTAAATGCAATTTTTCCAAATAAACATACATTTATTTCAACTTTATATATAAATCTTTCGTAGAATTGCTTAATTTTACGCGAATGTTATATTGAAATCTATTTTGTCTAGACTGTAAGTTAATTAGTTTCGAGACGTAGATAATAATAACATTAATCTTCTGATACTTATATTTCAAATATTATTTTAATATTAACTCAAATTAAAAACTGTTATTAAAAAATGTTTAATATATATTTATATCCTAATTTTGAGGAGTTATAAGAATAAAATATCTTTTAAGATTATTTAACAATAAATATAAAATTAATAACATTTCGGCCTTTTCCCATAAATAAAATATCAAAGATTATAATTAAAATTTTTCTATACTTATGTTTATTTAAATCGTTAAACAAAAATATCTAATTAAAGTTTTAATAGGTATAAAATGCCAATTGTATTTGTAATTAAGTTTTGTCTTTATTGAGGCAATTTCAGTTAGGTCATTGATTGCTTTCTAGTGCTTTATGAACTAATTTCGATAAGGAATTCACGTTTAATTGCCACTCCTTGCTGTTTTATTAGCCTTTTGTTGTTAACGGCATTGCAGCTATCTGATAGTATTAATAAAAACAGCTTTGGTGAGTAAATTGAAATTACTATCGAGTATATAACGATGCATACCTAAAGCTCTAATTTGGAGCTTAACCTACTTATTACACAATCAGACATTTTAATTATATTACTAATGAGGGAACTTAGCAATAAATTATTCGTAACTGTGAATGCTAAATTTATTTGACATAAATTTTTTCTTCTTTGAAATGTCAAATAATGACTTTTTAAATGAATACTTTTAAGATGCAAAGCCTAGCTGTGGTCAGTTGCTTCGAATAAAA